TTAGCTATGGAAAAAGTAGGAAAGGGTTAGTGCTTTTGTTAGGTTTGTAATACTGTCTATATATCCACTTGGAATATTCCCCCACTCTTTTTGTCCTGGTGACTTGATGTCCTTTCACTTGCTTTTATATCTACAGAACAGGAGGTTAGAGACACTGTCACAATGACCTTTCAGGGTAAAGTTACAGTGTGTTTCTAAAGGCCCCCTGCCCCAGTTATACTCACATTACCAGTGAGTATCAATTACCTACATTATAGAGTTTCCATTCCCTACTCTATCAAAAGTTGAGTAGAGTATTTGCTTTAAACATACCTTTAGCCCTCAATCACACTAGAAACGGCTGGGCCGTACAGATACGTGCTGCGTGCAGGGCCGTTTTGGGCAGCTCCCGGGAAGGACAGGTGATGTGTGTGATTACACGCAGCAGCCTGTCCATCTCTATCGGAGTACACGGCCATACGCCACCCTACACTCACCCGACCTGCACATCTGTACGGGTGTCCCTGCTCAGACGCAGACAGGATCCATCCTGTCAGCATATGGGTACGGACACCCACACAGGCGTGCCGGTCGGGTGAGCATAGGGCTGCGTACGGCCACGTATTCCCATAGAGGACAGGCTGCTGCGTACAAATCACATGCAGCACCTGTCCTTCCCGGGAGCTGCCCGATACGGCCGTGCACGCAGCACGGATCTGTACGGCCCGGCCGTTTCTCGTGTGAATGAGTGCTTACCTTCTTTCACTAAAAATCACATTGGTGTGCAGCTCTGCATCTTCATCTTACATTCGTTCAATAAACATATTCTTATCTTACAATTACTGTTTTCCACTTCCTGGTCCTCTTGGGCATTAGTGATGTAGCCCTTGCCTAAGAGATGCATCCTGGGAAGGTTACATCACAGTTCATTGCTGGGAAATCTCATATGTAAACTGCAGAGTCTCGCGAGATCTCAGGTATTTTTCCCCTGAGATGATATGCATGGTCACATGTCCTGGTCACATGTGCCAGAGTTCCAGGAAGTAAAGGGAGATGGATACCTCTGCCCTTAGTAAAAATGGGCACTGTGAAAAGAGTGGGGATGAAAAGAAATATAAGGTATGCAAAGAAAAAAAAATCCGGCCTAGAAGTATCTGTTTATAGATTGCTGTTACTAAACATTTCAGAAGGTGCCTTTAAGATTCTAGATATCATTTCTATAAACTGCCTAGGGAGCAGTTTCCGTCTTTTGTATTTTTTCCCGTGTAGCTAAATTATCAACTATGTGCACATATATTAATTGCATGACATTTTGCATATCTCCTCTACCTGAATTCCATGCTTAGCAGTGGTGTCAGTCAGAAACATAGTAGATTGCTAGTCTCCTTGTAAATTATTTATTTTCTTTTTTTTTTCTTTTTACTAATAGAACAATTGACTGTGAGTGTCCGTGAAAAGCCAGGAAGCTCTTGGGACGAAGACTACGACGCCTTTGTTTTGCCAATTTTAGATGATAAGCATCCATGTTATATTTTATATCGTTTGGACACCCAAAATGCACAGGGCTACGAATGGGTCTTCATTGCCTGGTCACCAGACTACTCTCATGTAAGTGCAGGCCACAGCTGACTTAACTGAATTTGGTATTAACAGTGCTGGGGGAATGTTGGCTATATATAAGGAGTAAGATAAAATACATTTACCAGAGAAGATTAAAAGACTATTAGGGGAGATTAGAATGTTTTCCTGACATTCCCAGCGCTCTCTGGTGTCTGTTGCAGTTATATATACCAAGGTGAATGGCTCAATACTTACTAGAGCTAAAAGAAACATCGATCGCGTTTACAGAATTGTTAGACAAGAGGACTTGCATATATGATGTGTTGGTACAGAGCCGTGCTAGACACATTTCTAACAAATGAATATGTCCCACCATGCAGTGCCTCAAATGCTCACATCTGATCTCTTTTTAATCCCTGTTGGAGATCTACAGGTTTTAGTTGTCAGTGTTGGAACTGTTGTCTGCAGCTACCAAACCAATCCTCCCGTTAATTCTGCAAAATGGAAGAATATGCTTGGTGGTTGTGTAAATTTAAGAATGGGCTGGAAAAACTCTCTGTGTACTAAGGATCATGTCAGGCTGGCAATGTTCACAATTATAAGCATCACTTGTGATTATTTATCTGGCTGTAGCCCCCATTATTTTGAATAGGCTGCCTAACACACCAAAAAAGGGGCATGCAGCATCTTCTGCAACCCACATCAATACATGTTAGTGTGTTGCTGCATGTTTTGCTGCAACACAAGTGCATTGGGAAGGTGTGTTGGGATGCCCTCCAGAAAGATTGGCACCATATTATACCAACATGCATAACATGCATTATCACAGCGGGACAGTGTGAATGGGGTCTAAGGCTAGAAAAAAGGATCATCTAGGAATTTAATTTACAAATATGTAAGGCTAGGTTTAGTTTCACACATGCAACCACAATTGTAAAATCTTGATATCATCACCACATCACAGTGGATACTCCACAGAGAAGGTTATACCAGGTACTCGAAAAAGATTTAAAATAAATAAATATTAATTTACATGCAATAAAACCTAATCTAAAAACATGCTAATTACAGTAAACTCCCCGTTACTGGGATTGGTAGATTCCCGATAAATGTAGTTTTTGGTTGCTTGTGAGTTACTATTAAAAATAGGTCTATTTAATGCCATACCCCATACTATACCATATCGTAACATAAACTCTGTATTGACTATATTAATATTGAAATGCAGTAATCAAAAGCAAATTAAGACAAATGGACACGCAATCATTTCCAGGATAATGCATGCCGCAGAACAGTGAGTACACAGGATTTTTTTTCTGGTTAGATGAGAGTTCTGGTTAGTTGAATACCGCCCCATCATATTATATAGTGCATTTGCTGGTCTAATTGACCATCATATTGGGTTCCTACTGTACATGCCAAATTACTAATCGCACACAGGTTTTATTTTCTAATCAATATTATTTTATTGTTCCTTCATGTTTTATGGCCACTTCCCTTTCAATAATATTTAAAAGTTGGATGCCAAGCAAAAAAAAGTAAACAAACAAAAAATCCACAAATGTTGCATGTACCCTTTTCCATGCAACTTTTGTAAGTAAAATAATTTGTAGGACACCATTTTATATTGCTTGAAGTGTCAGTATACCGCAAATAAAAAAAAAAAAAGAAACAATTTCTAATGATTTGTAGGATCTCCCTGTGTGCTTTGGATTTTAAATTTGGCTTGCCACGTTTTCATTTTCTTCTGCCAGTCAATTGGCCCACCTTTTTTTTGGCTGGCAATGATCTGCTGGCTTATAGAGCCTCTACAGCAGGGGTCACAGCATGTATTATCCCGGAAATGATTGTGTGCCTATTTGTCTTAATTTGTTTTTGATTATTGCATTTCAATATTAAAGGAGAACTATGGGGTCAGGGCTTTTCCCCATAGTTCTCCTTAGGGTAACGGGAGGACACAAACTAGCGTCCTCTCGTCACCCTAAGCTCAGTATACCGCGAGCTACAGCTTGCGGTATACTGAGATCCCGCTGCTGAAGCGGATCCCGACAATTATGTCTGGATCCGCCCAGCTGCTTGAGTGACAGCTGGCTCTGCCTATCTAGAGGCAGAGCCAGCTGTACCCGCTCCCTCCCCCGTCCGTTCCGCCAGTCAGCGCTGGAGGATCGGAGCGGGGAGGGGGGAATCCAGCCCCTCCCCTGTCACGGCAGAGAGCCGTGACAGGATCGAGAGGTGAGCGAACGCCGGTATGTGTTCGCTCACCTCCCGATCTACTGAGCCGACCTGTGACAGTCTCATTGTCACAGGTCGGCTAGAACTATGAGGTGAGTGAAAAGCACTCACCTCATAGTTCTCCTTTAAATATGAAGTCAATACAGAGTTTATGTTATGATATAGTGTAGTGTGGGTTATGGCATTAGTTAGACCTATTTTCAGGGCTTGAAAAATGTTAGGGTATCTCACCAGTCAGCATGACCGGACTATAGCCTTGCAATTTATGTTAACATTTTTTAGGGACAGATAGAGCTTTCTTTTGGTGGTATATAATCCCCACTGGGGAGGTTACTTTTTTTCATTATACAGTAAAAAAAAAAAAAAAACGTATAAATCGGAATTTTTATTTTTTTCCTACATTATGTTAAAAAACATTTATTCTTACCCATATTTTTGGTCAAATATAAAAGACGGGGTCACGTCGGGTAAATAGACACCAAACATGTCAAGCCTTAAAATTGCGTGCGCCCGCAAATCGCAAAAAACTACCACACCGAAAATTGGACATAGGCGACGCTTTAAACGCTTTTACTGCTCATCAGTTTAGTGTTTTCAGTGATTAATGGCCCTAAAATTATTGCTCACACTCCGACGTTCGTGGTGATATGTAACACTGCAGCAAAATGCAGTAGCAGAAAAAAATTGCCGTCTGGCAACCCGCAGATGTAGCAGTGCCGTCCGTCCGTTTTTTTACTACGGGCGGACAGCAAGAGGTTAATATTGTGATAAATGCTTTTTTTTTTCTTTTTTAGGTAAGACAAAAAATGTTGTATGCTGCAACTAGAGCCACTGTGAAAAAGGAATTCGGAGGAGGACACATAAAGGAAGAGCTTTTTGGAACTACTAAGGTGTGTGCAATATGGAAACTACTTGTGAAAATGTCATAAAGAATTGTCCATTTTAATTGGACTTGGGAGTGGAAAGTATAGGTAAATCATCAATATACTGATCATCCTTCAATGAGAACATCATTGTTTGGAAGGATAGGATCAACTGAGTTTTTGGACTGAAACAGAATGCTGTGTGCAAACTGATACTGCTTTTGTGTGTTTTGGAAACACAGTAACTATTGCAAACAATGAAATTCAGTATGGTCAGTATGGTCGTGGACCTACACCCCATCTGGATTTTACTCTTTGAAGCAGGATCTTCTGTAATTAAAGATACAAAAAAAATAACTTGGTGATATAGGTTTTCTGGTGATGTTTTTCCCAGAATGGAGTCTGCCTTTATTATTAAGGCTGTCCAAACTGTAAGTAAGTATCGCTACTTAAAGCAAAGGAGCAACTGTCCAGTTGCTCCTTTGCTTTAAGTAGTGATAACTGTGGTATTTACAAGATCATTTTTTTTTTTTTGAGTGACTGATGTTAAAGCAATTTCACCTTTGTACCTTTTCTTACTACATTCACAGCTGCAGTGAAAATACATTCATTAACTTCGAAAAGGCATCTGCTTGCATACCTAAAAGCTATAAATGGGTGTTCTCCACAATTTATGTGTACTGGGCATGCATTGATAGTGTCAGGTACTGAAATGCTGCTTTTGTTTACTGTAATGCACACATAACAGTTCAGCACCCATACTAACATTTAAAGCTAACCTAGTTTGAGACCCTTAGCATGCAAAGTAATGTACAATTGTAACAGCGGGAGGTATTTATTACCTCAGACAGAGATAAAGGAAAGTGGCACATTTTTAAAGTGACAATAACTCACGAGTTAAAATAAAGTAACTTAACTGATACAAATGTATCTTATTTGTGTATCACTCAGCTGCAGATCCTCAAATCATCTCTGAATTCATGCTGACATTGTCCTGCTTTTTGGGGGTTGGCTACTATTGTTCCCCATGGTCCTTGTGTGTGTTGTGAAGTAGCCACCATCTAAAGCTCACTCCCGTGATGGGCTACAATCTTATGTTTAGTTAGCTAATTTGTATTAAAGTTATTCACTAAAGAGTTCAGACAATCCTTCGGCTTGCTTCGGCTGCAGCAACCCTTCGATTCAGCCGAACCGAAGGTGCTGCTGTATGCGCTATTCTCAATAACTATCTCAATCTCGAAGGCAGCCGAAGCACACAGCTGAGCCAAACACACGTGCTTCGGCTTGGCAAATCCGAACAAACAGCCAAAGCGCCTCCCTGCACCATACCACATGCCCTCAACATTGGGAGGGTGCTTTTCCAGTGGAGGACCCATGGGCACCCATGCCAGTGAGGACAAGGGCCTCTTTCCCACAACCCTTGCCCGGTGGTTGTGGGGGTCTGTGGGCAGTGGGGGGCTCATCTGCATCTGGGTGCCCCCTTTTATAAAGGGGGCACCTAGATGCTGCCCCCCTTTTGAAGATGTAGTTGGTACCCCTACTCATTCCCCAAAAAGTAAATAAAAACACAACACCTTGCAAAAAAGTCCTTTAATATCCAGCAATATAGATCCTCGTCAATCATGATGAACGATGCACAACGACTCGTCCTCTGCCACCGCAAAATGACAGGTCCAGGCCAAATGTAAACAAATTGGAGGAGCGAGTTGTGACCTTTGGGCCGGACCTGTCATTTTTTTTCACTTTTTTTATTTCGACGAGTCGGCGGGCACCGTTCATCGTGATTCATCGTGATTTGTCGAAAAATTACTTTTGTTTTTTTGTTCAATGAAAGGATTTATTCAAGGTGTTTTTATTTACTTTTTTTGTGGACTTTTTGATGAATGAATAGGGATATCAAATACCCTCTACTCATTCACAGGGTGGGGACATTTGGGTGTCGGCTCTTTCGCCTCTCCCTTTCTTGCCAGGCCACTGCTAGGATTAAGGGTCTGGTATGGAATTTTAGGGGGGACTGCATTCCTCCCCCAACCCCCTGTTTTCAGCCATTGGGGTCCCCCTTAAAATCAAACGCCTAAACGGTCTGGTATGAATTTGTAGGGGAACTCTGTGTGTGTGTGTGTGTGTGTGTGTATATA